AATTCTTTCTCCCATTTGTTTAACTCCGAGTGCCTTCTCCCTCTGACCAACAGAAACACAAACAATTATCACTAGACTACTTCTGGTTACCCTCACCGATTCCACTATACCCAACGCATTTTTCACCCATCCTGAAACCACAAATGGATCAGCCAAAAGGCAAGGGTCCACCTTTTTCCAAAAACTTCACTCCTACTGTCACAGACTCCTCTTTATCCTGACCCTCTGTGCAAGCCTCTGGCTCTGAGCACTTCACCACACCTACCACCTCACTTCCATTTCTCCTCCTGTCTTCAGCTCACTTTGCTTACATTTCCTACCATTCTTCTTTAACAAACCTTCTCCCTTTTTCCCGCCATTTTTTACCGACTCAAGCTCACAATCTTCCTCCCTCTCTCTCTTAGACCTCCTCTGCCTCTCTTTTTCTCACCATTCCTCCGTCATCATCCAAGTATACGTCTCCTTATGATAATTACTGCACTTCTCCTGACGTACATCTGTTTCTTGCTTTCTCAAGGGACGCCATTTACGAGGCTCTCCCCCCTTCACGCCCATCGGCCAGCTTCTCCGTGCCCCACGTAAATGGCCTTGGCCTAGCTACATTGCACTTACTCATCTTTTCAATCAGTGCACACAAGTTTATTCAACAATTATTTCATATGCTTCTCCCTCTTTATTATGCATAACCACTCAACAGCTAGTTCAATAAGGGACCAGTCACTTCTTATTCAGTGTCATTCATCTCTTTTGCCAAAAGGGAATCACTAGAAAATTATAGTAGGAGTTGTTTGCAAAGGTTAGGCAATTCTCCCATCTTGAAAATGTTCATGCCATCCCCTTTTGATATAGTTCACTTTCATTTCCCCATTTGATACAGTTCAATGAGCATGACACAGCTTCAACATCACATGATATGCATATGCCCTCTTGTTTCATTGGTTTTTCAACCTGCAGTGTCTGCACATTTCACAAACCTTGACCTACAATTTGTGCAGTGTGAGGATTTCAAATGGAAATTACTTTTCTACCATACACTTGCACTTCACTATTCTCATGAAGTCCGAATTATTACAGTGTTTTATTTATTTCATTGAGCTGAACAGGCACGATTGTTTTCATTGCATACACGAACAAGATTCATATAAAAGTGGTCCATGTTCATCAAGCTTCTGCCACAGTATGACTAAAATACAGGTACACTTTCAGTCTCCTAAGAATCTCTAAATTATGCTTCTGGTTGAGTAAAATCTACTGACATAGTGCAGCTAGAAGGGTAATGCCATATACGGGGCAAAAAGTCCAGACAATTAGAGAGCCCATGCTCTACATCTCTATTGGAGTGTTCACAAACACATCCAGGTACAGTGGTTGGAAATGTCCAGTAGACCCATGACAGCTCAGCTATGTTCTAAGCACTTATGCTGAAGCCTTCTGCTTGTTGTGCTTGGCAAACCACTCATCGCTTTTATCTTCAGCCATGGCCTGAAAATAAATTAGGGTAATAGATTAAGACTATGTACTCTGTGCTAATGCAAAGTATTGGTTTATTTGCATAATATTTCTAAATACCAACCTTATCCAGCAATGCATTTCCACTGGGGTCCATCTGGGAGAGTTGTCTGAATGCCTCATCTCCCACAAAGCAGATCTCATGGGCATCCTAGACCACAGATGACCAAAGTTATTATGTGGAGAATTTATTATTAATCAATTTTACCCATGTTAATCATTTGGTAATGCACTCACTGGATCAGCCAAAATGACCACTTCTACTGTAGCCTTCCCAGGGGTGTCCAGGCTAACCAAGGGAGTAAGGATTTTATGGTTTTCTTTTGTCATCAGGGCTTCAAGATCTGGCAACTAAAAATAATTAAACAAAAATGGTTAAATATTGCTTTCTGTGTTCATGTATGTAAAGAGTCTGTAGGGCAAAACTACTAAGAATTTAAAGCATTGTATAGACCCCTTTCTGTGTTTGCAAACACTGCCGCACGAGAGCGATGCGCGCAAGTTGGTGGTAGAACAAGGGGGAGTTCTTATAGAACACCAGCAAAAAAAAGCCTCTATTTACATGTTGCTAATGAGTGATTTCACACTGCTTTTGGATTCTAATTGGATTTTAAGGCTCGTATGAATGTCCTGTTTAATATGTTTGTGTCATCGCAAATCAACTGTATCATACTTTTAAAAAATAAACTTCAACCAGTAAAATGGCTCTTTGGCTAGCTTTTCCTACAGCCTATGTAAATGATTGTTAGCATTCTAGCTAACAACTGCTGCATCCAAAATAGTTATTTTGCAAAGATCACAACCAAATATAATCTTAGCGACTGTTCAAGCTAGAATCAAAACATAATTGTAAGCATATGAGAACCCAAAAAGGTTATTTAGTTTAGAAGTAATAAAAACTTAAAATCTAGGCTATGTTGAATGGGCGCAGACGGCGATGGCTTTCTTACTGCCGCCAAGAGTTGCGCGCATCTGCGCGTGACATCAGTGTGTCGTGTACTGGAAAAGGGTCTATTACTTCACCTGCTCACGTGGACAAGAGAATGCTATCTTCCCGAAGGCTGTCCCATGATCTACTGTCCCACCAATGTTATGAAGCTCTAGTTTACACTGCAAATATACAGAAAAACACACACACCTAGCATTAGCACCATCTTATCAATTCATGCAAACACACAGTCGTGTTCTAAGTGTAGAACACAGGAGGCTGCTGAGGGGAGGATGGCTCATAATAATGGCCGGAATGGCATCAACCACATGGAAAACCATTTGTTTGATGCATTTGATACCATTCCACTAATTCCGCTCCAGCCATTACCACGAGCCCGTCCTACCCAATTAAGGTGCCACCAACCTCCTGTGGTGTAGAACCAAGTCTCTCTCTCTCACACACACCTGAGTGTCTGTGAATCCCATCAGCACAGTCTTCTTCTCCTCATTTCTCTCCATCACCTTCATCCCCAGAAGGGAGGACCAGTAGTGTGTTGATTTCTGTAGGTCAGACACTGCCAGACACACCTTCTGTACAGGATCTTTAACCAAGTGAAAAACAGATACACATTCACAATATACAGGCAACTGCCAAAATAAAAGAAACACTTGAGTAAATGAGGGATACAAAGTATATTGAAAGCAGGTGCTTCCACACAGGTGTGGTTTCTGAGTTAATTAAGCAATTAACATCCCATCATGCTTAGGGTCATGTATAAAAATGCCCAGTTGCCCATTATTTTGGCTACCATGACTAGAATGAGAGATCTCTGACTTTGAAAGAGGGGTCTCAAAGCAGCATAGGGGGTTTAAAGGGTATGTGTGTCTCAGTCACCAGATCTCAATCCAATTGAACATTTATGGGAGATTCTGGAGTGGCGCATGAGACAGCGTTTTCCACCACCATCAACAAAACACCAAATGCTGGAATTTCTCATGAAAGAATGGTGTCGCATCCCTTCAATAGAGTTCCAGACACTTGTAGAATATATGCCAAGGAGCATTGAAGCGGTTCTGGTGGCGACCCAACACCCTATTAAGACACTTTATATTAGTGTTTCCTTTATTTTGGCAGTTACCTGGATGTAAGGAGTATTCATATCTAGACTGGTTCCAGATACGTTTGTGCTCTTGCCTACTCAATGCAAGCCAAACATGGCATGACAAGGAGAGGCATGATGGCACAAACAGACTGGTACCCAGGTTAATTAATTTCCTCCTGGACTTTAAATAAACATGGTAGGCTATAGTCTACTACTCTACTTTACAGTCTACTACAGCAATGATCTTCTGTGCAAAGCACTGTTGACCCACCATTGGGAGGCTGTTCTTTGTCCACCAGGTAGAAGTGGTAACCTCCTGGGGCCTCAGCCAGATAGAGAGCCTCTCCAACCTCAGTGAGGGGCCAACCAAGCCGCTTAGCATTGCTGACAGCCTGGCTAGACTGCAGAGTCAGACCCTGAAATAAAGACATGGTGGCATACAATGAGTTAAGATTAGGTTAAAAAATATATAAATATTGAGTGTTCATGAATAACCATTCACTTACCAGGAAGTCATTACCAAGGCGATATTCTCCCACTCCATAATTGTAGGTCAGCTCAGCCACAAAGTGATCATCCTCTGGACCAAAGCCGACCATTGTCTTGCTCCATTTTCCATCATAAGGGCTGAACACACACACAAGCAAGTAGGGCATCATATGAGAGAGAGAGCAAAACAGAGACAGTGACTATTGTTACACAACAAGTAAATCTAACAATTATTTTTCACAAGAGGTGTTGGTTGAACAGTAAAGTTGACAGCCTGCCTACCCATTACAAGTGGCCTTGCATCCCTCTTCAAACTCTTCGTGACGCAAAATCTGAAATTAAATAAATGATTTTGACATTTTGGCAAAACAGTGATCTAGTCCCCAATATCACGCGAGTTTACAGCACTATGAACAACATTGAAACACAATCATAACAAATAACTGAAAAAGTGGTACATTCTGTGCAAGTGAAATCCATTGGCCACATGTTTGAGGATGTTCTACGACAGAGCTGAAAACGTACCTTCATGCCGAGCACATCTCGGTAAAAGGTGGCCGTTTTGCTTCTGTCACCCACTTTGAAAACGAAATGCAAGGCTCGCCTCAAAGCCATGATATCCCAGGTGAGTTTGCTGTGTACTATACGATTATATATCACGCTCCGTTTCTCTACGTCGATTGAGGATCCTTGCAATCGATTGCTCTGGTATCTATTCTATGGAAGACAACATTTTCGCTATAGCTAAAATGATTTGCCGCTCAATTGCAGATCACAAATCTATCTCAAGATAACGAGGAGTATTTAAATTAAAAGTTAAGCATCTAATATTGTTTTACAGATCAGTATTACCAACATAAAACACGTTTTACTTGGATTACCCCCCCCCCTTTTTTTATGGTATAAACCAACCAATCGTCATGCCACTGTCGAATGTTCCCACGCCCTCTTCTTGCTCTTGTCGCGAAGATGGCGGCGTTCATGAGACGCATGTTGTGGCATCTTCTTACAGCAGAGCGAAGTAATATTCTGAAAAAAGGCAACGACTGTATCGTAGATTCAAAGAGATACGTGCGAGCATTGAAAAGGAGACCTGTGAAGGTGTTGTATCCTGATAGTGAGACGACATCGAAACAGAGGTCAGATCAAATCGGCAACAAGCAGTCTCAGACAGTTGGGTCCACTGTCAACGCCAATTTAAAAAATGAGACCACTGATAGTGTTTTCAGCATGTCATGGAGTGCCAGAAATGGCAATGCATCCTCAACGTCGGAACATACAACCAATCTGAAGGACCAACTAGGTGGCCTCAAATTCGAAAGGGCCTTCCCTGGTGACAAAAGATTGGCGTAGGTCTCAGTGCATGTTGGCTATCGACCCTATGTTAGGTAGATAGTTGAGTGAATATATCCTCTTTCATTATAGTGGCTAGTAGAGGTCTAGTAACTACGGGGCTGTGATGTATGTTTGCATGATAGTTGATGTTCAGCCCAGATAGCCTGCTATGTTTCTTGCCCTTGACCACTTCTATCCTCTCGCCATCTACCAGGAGGGTGGTGAGTGTGGCTCGCTCCAGGACGTTTCGGGAGCACCAGGGTAAGATCCTGTTGGAGGGGAGACGTCTGATCTGCGATGCCCTGGCTGCTGGTGCCAACCCCCAGATGGTGTTCTTCAGTTCTGTGGACAGACTGTGTGAGCTCCCCTTGGACAAACTGAAGAGGGCCACTCTGGTCAAAGTCAAGTTTGAGGACATCAAGATCTGGTCTGACCTTGTAGCGCCACAGGGAGTGATAGGTATGATAGGCTGCATGATTTCATTTTCAGAATGATTTTGAAGTTGTTCTACATACTACTGTATATTGTTGAGAATAAGTATTGTATATTGACAATGCTTTCCCCTTGTAGCCATATTTTCTCGGCCAGACCCATCCCGGCTGACATTCCCTCAGGACCAGCGTGGTCAGTCTGTGCCACTGTCCCTGATCTGTGACAACGTGCGGGACCCTGGGAACCTGGGCACCATCCTGCGCTGTGCTGTCGCTGCAGGCTGCAACAATGTCCTGCTCACCAAGGGTATGTCATGATGATAATAATGTGCCATTTAGCAGACGCTTTTATCCAAAGCGACTTAGTCATGCGTGCATACATTTTTGTGTATGGGTGGTCCCGGGGATCGAACCCACTACCTTGGCGTTACAAGCGCCATGCTCTACCAGCTGAGCTACAGAGGACCACAGGGGATGGGTATGTTACACCCTATTCAAGTCTATGATGTTACAGATAAGCAGGGGATGGGTATGTTACACCCTATTCAAGTCAATGATGCCATATTGGGTGGACTGGTGGCCATTTTGAGTGTACCCATAGGCGCTGATAGTGAGGAATTACAGTGTGTGAACCTGTGCACTACTCTGGATGGTTATTTCACTAAGTATCTTGTATATGTCTCTTTTCACAGGCTGTGTGGACGCTTGGGAACCTAAGGTGCTGCGAGCAGCGATGGGTGCCCATTTCCGCCTTCCCATCTTCCCCAGCTTGGACTGGGACGACATTCAAAACCAGCTGCCAAAGTCTGTGACTGTCCACGTGGCAGATAACTGCAGCGGCTCTGAGAGAGAAGTACCTGAGGACGTGGAAGCAAACCAGTCCAATAAACCTTCAAAGCCGGGGGACTATGGATGGGTGAGTAGCAGTCCTAATCGTAAAGACATGCACTATGAGGAATATCAATCAGATTCCGAACTGTCGTTTCCAAGAGTGGAGACCAAATTGTACCATGAAGGCTGGGCTCAGGGGAACACAGGCCTTGTGATTGGTGGAGAGACTCATGGACTGAGTCTGGAAGCCGTCCAATTGGCTGAGAGAACTGCCGGTCAAAGACTGTTTATCCCTGTGGTCCCTGGCGTGGACAGTCTCAACTCAGCCATGGCAGCCAGCATCCTCCTGTTTGAAGGCAGAAGGCAACTGTTAAACCTAATGGAGACGTCTGGGAGGAAAGCTAAATCTAAAGTGCAATTTCCATGATTTTGCTGCAAGCCATTTTGAGTGTAACGGACATGTTATTCCTGGTGTTTGTCACTTTTTCCATGCATACATTCTAGACTGCACAACACCTCTTTACTGTACCTCATGTCAGACTGAATCATATGGATGGATTTAATTTCCATATTCAACTCAGCTCATAATAAAGTGAAGTGATATAAAATCAGCGTTTGGCTGAAAATGATTGACAGAATTTCCACGATGTGAAATGTATGTTTTTTCCGGTGTGCATATTTACTCTATCATCTTCCAAAATTCCTGCCAGTGTGGCTTTGGAAGCTTCACTTACTCTCCACACGCAGTTGGCTACTATATTTCCTGCCAGTTATGGCTAAACCGCTGCCATGCAAGATGACTGCTTAATCTCTATACAGGACATCAGTGGACATGTGCTCAGTGTATGTCTGTTTAGCAAAGGAAATAACCTGTCCATCTAACATTTTCACTGACTGGCCTATGAAATAAATTATCATAGTAACCACAGGGTGGCGCCTGAAGCAATTTGAGACCTTGCTGAGAACATAATTTACTGCATGTTATGAAGTTGTAGGGTAAAAAACCACAACTTCATGTGAAAGGTGTGAAATACTTGGTTGTCTTATACTGTAAACACATGGGTTGTGTACTAAGCATGACATCAAAAAGCCAACGTATTGTACACTTGGTTTTGTTTTTTAAATTAGAAATATATAAATGGAAACTACATTATTTCTGGAGTCATGATGCATTATAAATGTAGGTGATACGAAGCTAATACTGTAAAATAAATTTGCTTTCAATGGAATAAAACTGTTTGTCCAAATGAATGAGAACTGGCCTCATGGATAGAGGAAGTTGACAACATAGACAGTTGTGCTTAACAGTGAATTTTAATGGCTGTGAAGTCACAACTAGACAACCAGGGAGTAACAGAAAATGTGAATTAATACTTCAACACTTAGCAACTAAGGTGGATTTTAAATGCCATTTTTGTGCCTTCAAAAATATCTGGCCTTTTCAATAGAGGGGATCTTCACAGAACATCCCCTCTAAATGTCATGGTGGTTGAGATGGAAACATAACAATTGGGAAAAGATTACTATCACTCGTATCATGATAGAGTACAATACATGGGATTTCAAATACCATTCACTTAACACACATCAAAGCCAGATGCAATACAAAACAAGCAAATACAGACAAAATGACCTTTAAAACAGGGAAATCATAACATTGTTAGGTCTATACTGTGTGCACAGCGGTCATATTATTATGCAGCACCTTAAACAGAAGAACAATAACACCAGACAGTTACAGCAAACTGAAGTTCAGGACATTTTATGCACTGCATACTTGTAAATTACAACTACAGAACTTAAATTTGTTGCAATCATTTTATTCTTTCTCAGCACATTTTGGAAAACAAAAACAATGAGGGTTCGGCAAAGGTAATAAAGAGACATTGTGAAAATTCAAGTCCATTGGGTCAACATTGTGTGGTTTCTTCTAGTATTAAGAAATGCTAATAATGAAACTGATAAAAAAAGAAGCTATTGGAAGCCAAAAAGCAACAGAATCTCCATATATTACTGTAGGGGCTTTAGTCAATGCAAGGCACCACAGGAGAAGGAGAAGACTCCATGAGAGAAAGACATGTCTAAAAAAAAGTTACTGTCAGTAAAAAGTGAGACCTTTCTCTGACAGTCTGACAGAAAGGGGGGAGACGGGAGAGGAGGCTGGTGGTGGTAGCCGGGAGGTCAGGGTTTGATGGAGGTGTGGGTTTCAGTCCCATAGGTTTCTAGGGGTGTGTCCCAAATGGCACCCTATTCCCTATATAGTGCACTGCTTTTGACCAGGAATATGGGCCCTGGTCAAAAGTAGTGCACTATATAGGGAATAGGGTGCCATTCCGGACATAATCTAGGCGTGCTCTCTAGATGGGCTCTGGTTTGAGCTTTTCAGCCAGAAAGTCTTGGACAAAGGTCTCCACCACGGCCGGTGTGATCTCCTCCACGTCCTTAACGTACTTGGCCCGGGCAGACATGTCCAGGATGGTGAGCAGGGGCGCTGCCTCTGGGAGGTTGGTGTAGTCACGCAGGGAGTCACTCATGTCATCCTGGGAACACACAGACAGGTCAGTCATGATCATATATGACATAATCTTGTCTACCAACCTGTCTATATGCGGTAGCAATTGTGCCTGGGGAAGAAGTTGTATGACAAAGTGAAGTGATGACATGATTACATGTGAAGTGGCGTGGCCTAGCCTACATATTATCAACAACAGTTTATCCTGTGTGTCATGCAAAAGGAATTGCTAGATAACTGCTAACATCCTTATGACCGAATATAAAAACGTAATTGCTTTCAATCGGTTATGACTTGATTTTGGTAATAAAACTGGGACAGCACACAAGATTAACTATGGCATTTAATATTACTCAATAGATTCACAACTGAAGGTGATTGTCTCATTAATGTCTGCTTGGTTTTGAAGACTGGGGATCTCTTTCTTCCCTCTCCTCCTGCAGGCAGTGTGCCCAGCTAGCTAGGGCTCTGTCATGCACCCCACTGTGGGAGAGAGCACTGTGGGGGGGTGGGGGGAGCTGTAGGGGGTCCAACAACATCCCTCCCTTCAAAGCCTCACTCATGGACTATAAGGCTGGGAAGCTTCAGAGACGCATCACAGCGTGTTTGGATATTTTACGCGAGGGAGGGGGGGTGAGAAGGAGAGCGAGAGAGTGGTGTATTCCCTCATGTCTGGTGAGAAATAGGAAAAAGGGCGTGTGGTGGAGCTTTGAGGACAGACTTATGTCACTTCCCAAATGTCTTTTTACAAGCCCTCAAACACAGATCCAAGCCTTGTTCAGCCCCAGGCTTGATCTCACCTCTCACCCCTCAAGTCCTAGAATCATAAGACAGCAGGAATAACTCACTATAACACCTCAGCAGACAGGCTGCAGACCCCAGTACACTCACTATTAATTCATCAGAGAGAAAATAACAGGCACTTTTTGGCAATACTTGCAATAGCATGTCATTTCAGTTAGTGATCTTAGAGGAAGCTTTTCTCCACTTCACCAAAGCTGCATTAGTTCCAGTCAGTCAATACTTTTCTTCTAAACGTTAAAGAGGATTTCAAGTGTTGATTTATGTGAAGTGACATTTCAGCTCTGTCATGCCAGACTAGTATCTGACATCTTCTGAGATGGTCTCTCCCTTCCTCATGACAGGATGAGCTGACTTCCTCTCAACTAAGCCCTCTGGGTGAGAGAGACTTGGAAGAGATTGAAGATTTCATATGGAAAATATTATTTAAAAATACAGAAGTTACAGGAAACGACCACAGGCAGGCGCTGTCGCAAAGGTTTGGTACTGTCATTAAATCACAGCTTTTCACAAATGTTTTCCTTTTTTTTGGACTAACGCTCCCGTTATCTGGAAAAATGGCAGTAAAATGATTCAACCTAAATGGATTAAGCTGCACAATCAGCTCTCAGACCTCTCAAAGAGCAGCTTGGCCACTTTGCTACCTAAAAAGGACAAGTATGTATGCCAACAAAGTTTGTGACTTGTTGCAAAACTGCTAGCAGAACAGTTGAGTTATCCTGTGGCATGTAATATCTGGAGAGCTCACTTCCTCTGAATCTCTACCATCTGATCTGAGAACAGATCATTGAGTCTGAAACCTACTCTACTTCATAAAAATATACAATGAAAGTAATTGCTACACTTATGAGGATGTTTAATGGATGATTCATGTAGCCACAAGCGAGTGGCGCAGTGGTCTAAGGCACTGCATCTCAGAGCTTGAGGCGTCACTACAGACCCCCTGGTTCGATTCCAGGCTGTATCACAACCGGCTGTGATTGGGAGTCCCATAGGGCGGCGCACAATTGGCCCAGCGTCGTCCGGGTTTGGCCGGTGTAGGCCGTCATTGTAAATAAGAAATTGTTCTTAACTGACTTGCCTAGTTAAATAAAGGTAAAATATTTATATATTTTTATTCCCAAGCTTTAGAAAATCTGTGTCTCCTCAAATCCTCCCTAAAGGCTTCTCATGCAAGCTCCGATTGAAAATACATACTCGGGCATTGCCTTAGAAAGGAACCACAGAAAGAGAAATCACAGAGGAGTCATGCTGTCAGCATGGCCTCCCAGCCTCATAGATATGAAGAGATGTAATCTCCCTGGCTGTCTTCTTCTCTGTGGGAAGTCTTGCATCTTCCTTTGTGTGGCTGCTAACCATGTGTAAACTGTTCTTCATGAGAAGCAACCAGTCCAGCTGCGTGAGTGAGAGTGATAGAGAGACCGGCCCCTTACCCTCTCTCTCCAGCCCTGCTCTGAACACAAAGACAAAGGGTCTCTATGCTATGCTACGTATGGCCTGCAGTCACTGACTGACTGCTGTGATAAGGCTCCTGTGTGTGTTTACCGTATGGAACCTACTTCTGCACAATGTCAGGTTTATTCTGACCATTGTAGCACTGTGGCATTCCACAGAGTAGACGACAGCCATCAGATAAGGACCTACAAAGATAAGAAGCTCCCATTGGCCAGACGGCCTGGGAAGCAGCCTACTGATTGGTCAGCTTGAGAGCCTCCAGGCGTTGTGAAATTCAGGATACAATCGGCACAGCGATATGATTGGCTGAACAATGGCCTATCAGTCTGTATCACTGGTAGATTCAGGCTGGAACACATAGTTACTGAGAATCACTGTATCAAAGGATAGGATATAGGCCAGCTAGACCTTGTATCTTTACATACTGTACATTGTAAGATAACGCCCTTCTAAAGCCATGTTAGACCTAGTGAAAAGTGTTATATGTAACATATTTTTCAATCAGTAGGTATATTGTTGCTTTAAATGACAGGGATTTGCCTGTGAGTGTATTGGCTTCTTGATGATTGATTGTTTCATTTCTTCTAACTGTTGAACTGTATTGACAGTAAGAGACACAGGAGAAGAGTGTTTCTAAAAACACCACACTGCTTGGACGTAAATAGCTAGTGGAGAGGCCAACCTGTCTGGCTCACAACACACACAGTGTGACACAGGCCTCGGTGTCTACACGACCTTTGAACCCTGGGGTCAGGGAGGTTAGCAGGTGATACGGGCGGAAGACTAAACTATTGACAGGATCTCCTATTCCTGGCTAAACCTGGGAAGGGTCAAGGCAAAGAAGACAACTATACCCCAAATATCTCAGAGTCAATAATATAGAAAATACTGTCAATGGAAAAAAAACATAATATACTTGATAGAAAAGCATAAATTACAGTAGACATCTTTATTGCAATCACAAATATCAATCCCCATGAATTTTCTGTGTGAATAGGGCATCTTCCAATGGTCCTACCATAGGTTGCCAGTCAGTTTCTCTCAGCCTCTGTGTGACTTACAGGGTGGGGTAATGAGATCCCCTCTAATTTTCTGCAGGCCAGGCTCTCCATGTGGGGCTGGCAGCATAGTACTGTCTCACTGATACAGTAACCATCCCCAGCACAGCAGCTGGCAGACAGGGCCTGGTCTGACCACATGCAGGCAGGCCTCACCCAGGCCAGGGCCCCGCAGGCTGCATGGGGGTCCATCCTGTAACCTCAGCCTCTGCCTGGCATAACAGAGAGCCCAATGGGTCCATGGCAGGGTATACACAGGCTATGTCCAAAATTGTACCCTATTCCCCATAGGGCTCTGGTAAAAAGTAGTGCACTATATAGGGAATAGGGTGCCATTTATAGGGAATAGGATGCCAGTGCTGGTGAATTTAGATCCAGCTACATGTAACCCAGACGATGGGAAGAAAACTGTACCTGCCTTCTATAGACTACCAGGGGTGCCAGAGGGAGGGAACACGGACTGAAAATGAACCTAGAAAGCAACACAGACCTTTCAGCTGAGAAACAGGTTCACTTTCATTCAGTGATGTAACATTCATTAGAATGGGTCTTGTCCAGATGAACATAAATACCAATCAATATGCAACAAATCCCCAAACAAGTGAACGGTAAAGAGAGAGGGTGTTAGTATGTTTTCTTAGCCCCAGCGCCTGTCTGTGACATGTGAATGTGTGCGTCCTTTGGTCTGTCTGTGGCCGTGGCATATAAAGGCCGACATGAGAGCAGAGTGGCTTCAGGCAGCCAGGCAGAGGGTAAGACAGGACAGCGAGGGAGCACCTGTGCAGCTCCCCATGGCTGAAACCTAAACCTGATCCATTTGACATGGGACACCGTCCTGACCTCCCCGAGCTCTGAGCCCTGTGAGCAGGGGAGAGGAGTGAGGGGGAGATAGCTCATCTGGTAATTACGGCTGTCCCTGCTGCTAACTCAACAAGCTCTAGAAAGGATGAGAAGGAATAACAAGAGTTAAGAAAACTCCATGTTCCCTCCTGCACTGAGCGGGCGGACGGATTGAGGGGAGATAGAGGATCGAGGAGTATATGGAGGGGAGATTGAGGGATTCCGGAGGGAGAGGTGCACAGCTGTTCTGCGGAGAGGGAGAACAGCTATCATCAGACAGACGGCCAGCTGAATTCTGGGCCATGGGCCGTGTGGTGTGCCTCACACGAAAGTGAAAGGGGGTTTCATCCCTCAGAAACGACCCTCTGACATTATCCTGTAGCTTATTTCTGTGTCGGTTGGTGAGTAGAGGCATGTTCTCTACCAGAGGATTATGATATGTGATAACTAAACCAGATGGTACATCATACACCAGCATAGCAGCAACCAAACACACAGAGACAGATGCCCACAGTAGAGGAGACGTACACAAGACAGGAATGCAAAACAACTAAAACGCCAAAAGCTAAGACAGATTTCATCAGGTGTGAATATTCTCATCTAGGTCAGCTAGAGGTGTGTGTGTGTGTGTGTGTGTGTGTGTGTCCCCTATCTCACCTCTCCAGCCACGAAGAAGAGCAGTGGTGTCTCCTCCTCCTTGGCTTTGTACTTAGCCATGATCTTCTCTGCGATTGGTTGGATCAGCTCCTTCGCCGGCTCCAGCTCTCCCTCCTCCTCCGCATCTGAACGAGAGAGAAACACAGGTGTAAAAAGTATGAAAAGAGTAGAAAGAGGATTGGTTGAGAGAGAGAATGTGTTTGTGAGACAGACAGAGGAGAGCAAACTTGGCGTGAAGGCATGAAGACTAGAGAGAGGACAGGAAGAAGAGATGAAGACAAAGAAAAGCAGCCACGAGAGAAAGGAGCGAAAGAATGTGCAGATAAATCAGCAGATGAGTGAAAAGACAAGTGAGGACGGGAGGAGAGGAGAGGAGAGGAGGAGAGGAGAGGAGAGGAGAGGAGAGGAGAGAGTGGGTGAGTGAATGGATAGATAAGCAGACGAGTGAGGAGACAAAAGGAGGAGAGCAGATGGTCTGTGGCTAACCCCTTCGGATCTGATCTCAGGGCCTGAAATCATGAGGTCATCAGTTTGCACCCGGTCACTCCATTCTCACATTGCCGTCTTATTGTCTCGCCTGGCTTAATGGCTGCCCTGTCCACTTTGGCCTGAGCCACTTAGCAGAGCATGGCATCAATCTCTGCCATCTCTCTCACTGCTAACAGCCTAAAAGACAGACAGAATAACACTTTTCTTCTGCTTCTTTACTCTACCCTACTCTTGTACGTCCTCAAACTTTAAAATAGCATGTGGCCCTACAACTGATCTGTTCACTTTTACTTCTTGCACAATGCTCTTTAGAATGTATTACTATACATAGTCTGAAGGATTGTTATTATTTAGAAACCAGCACTGAATGCTCCTCCATTCACCCACAAAGAGCACGAGGTAGGGCCTCTCGTGGAGGTGCATGGTAGGGACTGACATTGAAATGTTCATCCACTTATCTACTCACCCACAAAGAGCACGAGGCAGGGCCCCTCGTGGAGCTGCACGGCGTTGGACTCGCTGAGCTCCAGTACGGGTCGGGGGTGCCAGGGGAAGAGCCGACACTCTGGGTCATTCAGCACCTCCACACGGCCCTGTCGCGTGATCATGTGACCTTCCGCGTCCAGCAGAATAAGGGTGGGAATACCTGGGAGGGAGGAAAAGAGGGGGGAAGGAGACAGAGGAGAGAGAGAGGAGAGCGAGAGGGGGAGGCGGGGTGGGAGAGGAAGAAAGAAAGAGCGAGAAAGATGGAAACGGGTAGAGAGAACAATCATGAATTGTAGATGTTGTCACTGCCACCTCCCCTCCTGTCCTTCCATGTTTGCCAGTTGCTCTCACCACATATGGCTGTATCTCTCCCACTGTTTATCTGTATGGTATGGAGGAGCTTTTAGTCCCTCGGAGGCTCTGACCGGCCTCTGCTCTCTGTCTCTCTGAACTCTCCAGTTCCCTCCCTCTCTCCATCCATCTCTCTGCTCAGACTCCCGCTGCGTCCCCTGTTCAGGAGATCTTTCTTAACGCCCAACCCTTTTCTCTCCCACAGTCTTTAAGATTAGAATCTCACTGCCTTATTAACAGCCTTATCAGAAACAGACACAGAGGGCACAGTGTGAGTTTGGCTGGGAGGAAGGGTGTGTGTGTGGTGAGGGGTGTGGGCCAGTGTGAATGGCAGGGGTTTGAATGGGGAAGCGGGGCAGTATCGACCAGTCCTGCAAGCATTCTGAACATTCCAGCCAGAAGAGGCAATGAGCAAGCACTTTGACTACAACTACACTACTCCCCTCTACAGAAAGAGAGAGAAACACAGAGAGAGAGATGGTGGGGTGTTAGCGAGAAGAAGAGGGGGGGTTATAGAAAGAGGCTTGGGAAGAGGGAAAATAAAGGCAGAGAGAGAGAAATGACCCTTACTCAGCGAGCAGAACAGTAAACTTGATTACCAGCCCACATTCCTTCAGCTTCAGCTTCAGGGCTATCTGTTCACTGTTCCCTACCCAGACCCAGACCCAGCACACAGAGTAGAGCTGGCTGCCATTAGGCCGCTTCTCCACATCAACACATTATTAAGCCAGACAGCTAATGTTTGATACTCACTCAGCATCATGTCCAGGAGGACTACAGTATATGAGTACAGGAAGAGACATCAGAGACAGTGTTGTACCTTGTATTCCAAAGAGTCTGTTGAGTCGTGATCGTCGGGCCTCGTCTGAGTATGGAACTGCCAACCAAGGCATCTCACTGAAGTACTGCTGAAAGGACTCCTCCGACCTGCGTTGGTTGGCAAACACAAAACAACCCTCAGTGCCACTGTGAACTCAGTTTATTCAGTCGATTCAATTAGCAGCTCAGAGGAACATGAGACTGTGTGTATGTGTATATATATATATATATATATTACACACACACATACACATAAATATATATACATATATACATACACATATATACATATATTTATGTGTATATATACATACATACACATATATACATATATATACACATACACATATATGTATGTATGTATGTATGTATGTATGTATGTATGTATGTATGTATGTATGTATGTGTGTGTGTGTATATATATATATATATATATATATATATATATATATATATATATATACAGTGCCCTCCACTATTATTGGCACCCCTGTTTAAGATGTGGTCGAGGACTTCCAAAAATTCTCCTTTTTTTTTAAACAACATAGAACCCAAATGCAAAAAAAGAGAAAAATCCAACCTTTTATTTAAGTACATTACTTTGGTGGTAAAAAAAAAAATCACACATTTAGAAAAAAAATTACTTGAAATCATGTGTCCTACAATTATTGGCACCCCTTACAATTCCGCTGAAAATTTTAATTGATTTTTTTTAAAATATATTTTTCTGTAGTTGCTAAAGTTGGTCAGGGTATCTAGGAACTTTTAATTAGTAATTCATGACTTCCTGATTCACTGGGGTATAAATATGACGTGACACAGAGGCATAATTCTCTTACCCATTTGTCAACATGGCAAAGACAAGAGAACACACCATTCAAGTAAGGCAGATTTGTGTCGACCTTCATAAGTCAGGCAATGGCTACAAGAAAATAGCCACTCGCCTTAACTTGCCCGTATCTACAGTCAGAGGAATCATTAAGAAGTTTAAAACAACTGGAACAGTGACAAACAAGGCTGGAAGAGGTCCCAAGTTTATCTTGCCACAACGCACAGTGAGGAGGATGGTAAGAGAAGTAAAAAAAAGTCCAAGCTCACTGTCACAGAATTGCATCAAAGAGTGGCATCTTGGGGTCACAAAGTATCCAAAACAACCATCAGACGCTCTCTACATGCCAACAAGCTGTTTGGGAGGCATGCAAGGAAAAAGCCTTTTCTCACTAACACCCACAAACGTTAAACGTCTGGAGTTTGCTAAGCGGCACTGGGACTTCAACTGGATCGTGTGCTTTGGTCAGATGAGACTAAGATGAGCTTTTTGGCAACAAACACTAAGTGGGTCTGGCGTAAAACAAAAGATGAGTATGCCGAAAAGCACCTCATGCCCACCGTGAAGTATGGTGGAGGATCTGTGATGCTGTGGGCCTGTTTCTCTTCCAAAGGCCCTGGGAACCTTGTTAGGGTGCATGGCATTATGAACGCTTTGAACTACCAGGACATTTTAAATAAAAACCTGATGGCCTCTGCCAGAAAGCTGAAGATGGGTCGTCATTGGGTCTTTCAGCAGGATAATGATCCAAAACGTGGCAAAATCTACACAAAAATGGTTCAGCAGTCACAAACTCAAGGTCCTCCCATGGCCATCTCAGTCCCCAGACCTCAACCCAATCGAAAACCTGTGGGGCGAGCTAAAGAGGAGAGTGCATAAGAGAGGACCCAGGACACTGGATGATCTAGAAAGATTGTGCAAAGAAGAATGGTCAAAGATCCCTCTCTCTGTGTTCTCCAATCTTGTGAAATGTTATAGGAGGAGATTAAGTGCTGTCTTGTTGGCAAAAGGGGGTTGTACAAAGTATTAACATCAGGGGTGCCAATAATTGTGGGACACATGATTTCAAGTATTTTTTTCTTCTAAATGTGTGATTTTTTTTTTTTACACCAAAGTAATATACTTAAATAAAAGGTTGGATTTTTCTATTTTTTTGCATTTGGGTTCTATGTTGTTTAAAAAAAAGAGAGAATTTTTGGAAGTCCTCGACCACATCTTAAACAGGGGTGCCAATAATTGTGGAGGGCACTATATATATATATATATATGTATGTATATGTGTGTGTACCAATTTTAATGGTAGGTTTATTTGAACAGTGAGAGAGAATAACAACAGAAAAATCCAGAAAAACGCATGTCAGAAATGTTATAAATTGATTTTATATCGCGTGGGAGAAAGAGAGATCGTGTGGGAGAGAGAGAAGGTGTGTGTGAAGGGAATACCTGTCAGCGCTGACGAACACCATCTCAAACTTTTGACCCGATTCCTTCACAGTGCGATATGATTCCACTAGCACCCGGGTCAGACTGCGGCATGGAGGGCACTACAGGAACAACACACACAGACACACACAACAAGTTATGGCATTAGTTTCCAGAATCACCTAAATTGATCAGTCTCTATAGAACAGTAGATAATGATGACTGATGTGTTGTTGAGGTCAACATGGTGTTTTCTGACTCTCTCTCCCTACATCTCTGCAGTACATCACCCTAATGTTTCGCCAGAAACCAGGACTAACATTTCCTTTTGTTTCCTGGCCCATTCAAATGTGAGAAAAATCTAGGTACTCAGGATGGAACTCAGGATGGTCTTGGCTTGGATGCATTTGTTGTTGTGAGTGAGTGTGTGTTTTGAGAGCCCTCTCAAGTCAAGCAGGGAGAATGACTTCATAGTCTCTGGTCTAGTGTGTGTGTTGTTGTGTGTGTGTGTGTGTGTGTGTGTGTTGCATACCCTCCCTGTCTCTCCCTTATAGGATTAGGGGCAGTAGAGTAGCCCAGCAGCAGCGCCAGGCTGGCTGTGTGTGTGTGTGTGGAGGAGCAGAGCGGCTGGCATTAAGATGGTATCAGAGTGCCAGCGGCGGCAGAGCTGTGGCTGAAGAAAACAAACCAGACCAGTCTCACTCCTCATCAGTCTCTCCCCCTTATATTCTCTCTTTCCATTCTCAATTTCCTCCTTTTCTTTCTCAGCCTCAGTGACACAAACACGGCGCACACACAGCTAGTGACGAGAGTAAAGTCAGTGAGGAAATGTGTCACTCTATCCTGCCGAGGGTCATTTCAGGTCGTTCGTAAAAAGTAATCTCCATTTCACGCTTGTAACTGTCTCTTAATGGTGGGGTGGATTTACCTGGTAAGACAGGGGAATGTAGCCTTAAAATAATACACAAACCTATACGATAGTTCTTCATGTACCTCAATGACCTCGTACCCCTGCACATGGACTCAGTACTGGTACTCCCTGTATATAGTCATGTTATTATTATTCACTGTGTTCCTCGTGTCACTATTTCTATTCTTTGTTGATTTTTTTATATTTAACTCTGCATCGTTGGAAAAGGACCAGTAACTAAGCATTTCACAGTTAGTCTACACCTGTTGTTGATGAAGAGGTGACAAATAAAATGTACCAATTTGTATTGGTTTGGAAAGTGGACTAGTCTGAGTGTGTCATGGCTTGGTGCTGGCTTGTCTCTGGAGCTGAAGGCAGCACTGGCAGCTGGAGGGGCGTCTGCGGCCTGCGTGTGTGTGTCTGTGTCATCAGCTGAGCTCATCAGTGACACAAGCCTTTCATGCATCACCAATTCACGACCATCACACGGATGGGCAAGCCCAGCACTGATAGAGACAATGGGTCTGACGCCCACTGCCCACTTTAAAGGGCACTAGTAGGTGATGACAGCAAGGAGTGGAATAACTAGCTACTGTAGTCCCAGACAATGGAAGTCCCCTAACTACTCTGTCCATCCCCTGGCTACCGGCTGCTGTGTTTCCTCCCGCTGTGCCCTGCCGCCCTGCCCTGGCTTTCACCGATGCCTCTCTGTTTTAACAGGGCTAAAGCTCATATCAGAGGACAGCTGGGTGCCTGAAAAGGAAAATTAGGCTCCCCCTCCCTGCTCCGCTGCCTGTGTGTGTGTGCCCCTCCTGGCCCCCCACCACTCACCCAGTGTGCTGAGAAGTACACTCCCACATAGTGGCCCTCCTGGCCCCCCACCACTCACCCAGTGTGCTGAGAAGTACACTCCCACATAGTGGCCCTCCTGGCCCCCCACCACTCACCCAGTGTGCTGAGAAGTACACTCCCACATAGTGCCCCTCCTGGCCCCCCACCACTCACCCAGTGTGCTGAGAAGTACACTCCCACATAGTGCCCCTCCTGGCCCCCCACCACTCACCCAGTGTGCTGAGAAGTACACTCCCACATAGTGGCCCTCCTGGCCCCCCACCACTCACCCAATGTGCTGAGAAGTACACTCCCACATAGTGGCCCTCCTGGCCCCCCACCACTCACCCAGTGTGCTGAGAAGTACACTCCCACATAGTGGCCCTCCTGGCCCCCCACCACTCACCCAGTGTGCTGAGAAGTACACTCCCACATAGTGGCCATCCTGGCCCCCCACCACTCACCCAGTGTGCTGAGAAGTACACTCCCACATAGTGGCCCTCCTGGCCCCCCACCACTCACCCAGTGTGCTGAGAAGTACACTCCCACATAGTGCCCCTCCTGGCCCCCCACCACTCACCCAGTGTGCTGAGAAGTACACTCCCACATAGTGGCCCTCCAGGGAGCTGATGTCCGTCGTCTGCCTGTTATTCCTGAGCAGAGGGCCGGCCACCACCTCTGCAAAGGGCTTGGGCCCCCAGGGGAACTCCAGGCCTAGGAGGGGGGAGGACAGAAGGGGAAGAGGGGGTAAGGGAGGGGGTAAGGGTGGGGGGGAGGGTTTGGTGTTAGGGAGAAAGGATATACAGAGCCAAGGGTCTGATTAGTGAACAGAGAAGAGAGCTTTCTGTGTGTGTGACAAACTCCCCATTCAAAACCAGAGCACTCTCCACCCCCCTGGAACAACTATTAGATATTAAATACATGCACGTGGCCAGATTTGTCATACATATATCTAAACCCAGCGTGTCTCCTACTCACAAGCTCTTTTGTACTCTGTGTCATCTGCGTTTGGAAATGGGCCCTCACAACAGATGCAAAATGTTGTTTTAATGATGATTGAAAGCCATACTTTTCCATTTCCCATACAGGGACAGGGAGCGCTGCCAGCATTGCCCCCTCTCTTTCCCGCTCTCTTGTTTCCTTTTCAAGGTGTCTTCATTGTCAGTGTCAAGCACTAGAGATGCGTTTGGGATGACCAAATAAAAAGGTGTAATCATAAATAAAGCTCTGTATGCAGGGCTGTAAAGGTTCCTTTATGTGGGCCTTCCTCTGTAGGGCTTCATTAGGCAGGGCTGACACATCCCCACTGCCTCCGCCGCTGCAGCCTTTTATTGTTGTCCCCATTCACACTGTAAAAGTGCACTCCTTCCTCGCAACTTCTCCTCCTCTCCACCACTAAAGACAGCTAGGCCCTTTTATAACACTGAAAGAGAGAGAGTCCTGAATCCTCACCCACCCCCCCCCACCGCCCACCTCAAACTCTTACTACCCCGCCTATAGCCACCCTGTTTCCCTTCCTCACCACAACACAAACACACACCCCTTTTCTGCTACCGCTACCACACTACACACCCCCTCTAACAACTCTGAAAGAGGAGGGATGGAGCAAGAAGATGAATCTCTTCTTTACCCACATCTACTGTAGTTGGTAGTTAATGAATCTCTTCTTTACCCACATCTACTGTAGTTGGTAGTTAATGAATCACGGAAATGATACAGTATGTACTCTACTGTGGCCTGGGAGGGAGACTGGGATTCATTAAGCAGACTCATGGGAAAGTCTGCTCAGCTCATGTGAAATCCATTCCCCTGCACCACGGGTTCTACTGGCACGATGCTCGATACTCTCTCCACTCCCTTTCTCCACTCCCTTACTCCCTCTCTTTCTCATGTTGTGCAATAAGGGCTCTGAAGACCAGGATGTCAGGATTGGCCATGAGATGACATCCTCATCTCTCTACCAGAAAGGAATGCAAGTCTGCTCTCGCTAACAGGCCATCTCCCACTTAAAAGTAGGGAAATTATAGGTCTGCAGATGTGGGAGTTAGAGGGGGCACTTTATAATATTCATGCAATACCAGAAGAGGACACAAATTGAGAAATAAGGCCAGCTCTCCAACTGGTGAAGGATGTAGCACAGAAACTTTGCAATATGAAATTCTGACGAGGCAATTTGCATGTAATATACTGCATGCTTGTGTGTACCGGTACCCGAGCAGTTTCTCAGTACTGAGGCTGACTGAAGAGACTTACCTTTGGGGTCATCTCTCACCACCAGTAGTCCGTTCCGACACACCACCTTCCCTGTGGCTGCATCCACAAACACCAGCGAGGGAATACTGGTCACCTTGTACTTGTTCCACAGCTTCATCTGGACAGACGGAGGACAGAGGAGAGATATGGGATGTACCGTTAGCAACAAAAATAGAAAATCAAACAAAGAAAGAGAAAAGTAATTGAACGTTGTACATCTTAGTTATTTTCCATCTAGTTTATAACATCTGTTGATAAATAATTATTTGTCAGACATCCATTGATTTCCAAATGTTGATAGGCCTACAGCCATTTTCACTATCACTACACCAAAAGTGCGGAAGTACCAGTATCTATTTATAAGGCAAGCTGAAGTATGAAGTATGAAGGGACTAGAAAATGTGCCAGGTTGAATAAAACGGCAGCAGAGAGTCAGCCTGCAGTGAATTAGCTGAAGGACATTAAAGGAACATTAAAGGAACTGGCAAAGGAGGAAATTCACAAGGAGCGTTTTGCCCTGCTGTGTCATGAATAAGAGCAACACGGGGTAAGAGGAGCAGAACCATCCACACTTAATAAAACCTTTCGCCACCGACTCTGCCACTGTACCCCATACAAATAGAATTACTAGATCGTAGTAATTTTATGCTCATATAGTACCATTCTATGTTGTACCCTCACACTGTGGGTGGCACTTGTTTTAGCCTATCCTTCTTCGAGTGAGGACAACACTGTAAATTATTCTGTCTGTTCAATATGTGAAGCAAGCATACCTCCACAGGCATTAATGGCTGAAGAACACGCTCTACATCTAATTATACTGAACAAAAATATAAACGCAACATGCAACAATTTCTAAGATTTTACTGAGATACAGTTCATATAAGGAAATCAGTCAATTGAAATAAATAAATTAGGCCATAATCAATGAATTTCACGACTGGGAATACAGATATGCATCTGTTGGTCACAGCTACCTTATAAAAAAGTAGGGGCGTGGATCAGAAAACCAGTCAGTATCTGGTGTGACCACCATTTGCCTCATGCAGCGTGACATCTCCTTCACTGTTGATTGTGGCCTGTGGAATGTTGTACCCACTCCTCTTCAATGGCTGTGCGAAGTTACTTGATATTGGCAGGAACTGGAACACAATGTCTTTCACGTCAATCCAGAGCATCCCAAACCTGCTCAATGGGTGACGTGTCTGGTGAGTATGCAGGCCATGGAAGAACTGGGACATTTTCAGCTTCCAGGAATTGTGTACAGATCCTTGTGACATGGAGCTGTGCATTATCATGCTGAAACATTAGGTGATTCTCGGCGGATGAATGGCACGACAATGGGCCTCAGGATCTCATCCCGGCATCTCTGTGCATTCAAATTGCTATCGATAAAATGCAAATTGTGTTCGTTGTCCATAGTTTATGCCTGCCCATATCATAACCCCACCGCCACCATGGAGCATCAGCAAACCAGTCGCCCACACAACGCCATACACATGGTCTGCGGTTGTAAGGCTGGTTGGGTGTACTGCCAAATTCTCTAAAACGACGTTGGAAGCAGCTTATGGTAGAGAAATTAACATTAAATTATCTGGCAACATCTCTGGTGGACATTCTTGCAGTCAGCATGCCAATTGCACGCTCCCTCAAAACTTGAGACATCTGTGGCATTGTGTTGTGTGACAAAACTGCACATTTTAGAGTGGCCTTTTATTGTCTCCAGCACAAGGTGCACCTGTGTAATGATCATGCTGTTTAATCAGCTTGTTGATATGCCACACCTGTCAGGTGGATGGATTATCTTGGCAAAGGAGAAGTGCTCAATAACAGGGATGTAAACAAATTTGTGCACAGAATTTGAGAGAAATAAGCTTTTTGTGCATATGGAAAATGTCTGGGATCTTTTATTTCAGCTCATGAAACATGGGACCAACACTTTACATGTTGCGTTTATATTTTTGTTCAGTGTATAATAACTGTATATTGTGACTTGATATTAATATAAAACATAACGCATAAAATCGGAAACAGACTCTTTACGAACGCAAATATTTATAGTGTATATGCTTGGTGTAGTCCTCGACACCACAGAGCACATCAATAATCTCACACAGTGGAAACTCACTTTCCATATCAAAGGGAAGAAGATGGGTTTCGCTTGAAATGACTAGCTCCTGAAGAGTAGCACAGAGTCAGAGAGGTCACTTTCCTGAGAGATGTCTGAGAACCATTGAAACATTGATGTTTGAAAGTCTGATAGCAAGTCTGAGCCAGAATTATACCAGTGACCTTGAGATTGCCAAGCCAATACACCAAGGACCGCACCAGTCCAGACAATTTTGTGTAGGCACATAAATTCAGCAAAAAAAGAAACGTCCTCTCACTGTCAACTGTGTTTATTTTCAGCAAACTTAACATGTGTAAATATTTATATGAACATAACAAGATTCAACAACTGAGACATAAACAGAACAAGTTCCACAGACATGTGACTAACAGAAATTGAATAATGTGTCCCTGAACAAAGGGGGGGTCAAAATCAAAAGTAACAGTCAGTATCTGGTGTGGCCACCAGCTGCATTAAGTACTGCAGTGCATCTCCTCCTCATGGACTGCACCAGATTTGCCAGTTCTTGCTGTGAGATGTTACCCCACTCTTCCACCAAAGCACCTGCAAGTTCCCAGACATTTCTGGGGGGGAATGGCCCAAGCCCTCACCCTCCGATCCAACAGGTCCCAGACATGCTCAATGGGATTGAGATCCGGGCTCTTCGCTGGCCATGGCAGAACACTGACATTCCTGTCTTGCACGAAATCACGCACAGAACGAGCAGTATGGCTGGTGGCATTGTCATGCTGGAGGGTCATGTCAGGATGAGCCTGCATGAAGGGTACCACATGAGGGAGGAGGATGTCTTCCCTGTAACGCACAGCGTTGATATTGCCTGCAATGACAACAAGCTCGGTCCGATGATGCTGTGACATACCGCCCCAGACCATGACGGACCCTCCACCTCCAAATCGATCCTGCTCCAGAGTACAGGCCTCGATGTAACGCTCATTCCTTCGACGATAAACGCGAATCTGACCATAACCCCTGGTGAGACAAAACCGTGACTCGTCAGTGAAGAGCACTTTTTGCCAGTCCTGTCTGGTCCAGCGACGGTGGGTTTGTGCCCATAGGCGACGTTGTTGTCGGTGATGTCTGGTGAGGACCTGCCTTACAACAGGCCTACAAGCCCTCAGTCCAGCCTCTCTCTCTCTCTCTATTGCGGACAGTCTGAGCACTGATGGAGGGATTGTGCGTTCCTGGTGTAACTTGGGCAGTTGTTGTTGCCATCCTGTACCTGTCCTGCAGGTGTGATGTTCGGATGTACCGATCCTGTGCAGGTGTTGTTACACGTGGTCTGCCACTGCGAGGACGATCAGCTGCCCGTCCTGTCTCCCTGTAACGCTGTCTTAGGCGTCTCACAGTACGGACATTACAATTTATTGCTGTGGCCACATCTGCAATCCTCATGCCTCCTTGCAGCATGCCTAAGGCACGTTCACGCAGATGGGCATCTTTCTTTTGGTGTTTTTCATGTCAGTAGAAAGGCCTCTTTAGTGTCCTAAGTTTTCATAACTGTGACCTTAATTGCCTACCCTCTGTAAGCTGTTAGTGTCTTAATGACCGTTCCACAGGTGCATGTTCATTAATTGTTTTTGGTTCATTGAACAAGCATGGGAAACAGCGTTTAAACCCTTTACAATGAAGATCTGTGAAGTTATTTGGATTTTTACGAATTATCTTTGAAAGACAGGGTCCTGAAAAAGGGACGTTTCTTTTTTTGCTGAGTTTAGTACAATATAATGATTTCAGCACTGTGGTCTCTAGTAATTTCAGTGAAAGTGAGAGCCAAATGTAGGAGTGAGGCCTGTCTGCAGTCTGTCTATGAGGCTCAGTGGGGTAAGCCTCCAGTTGGGTTCAGTTACAGTTCTGCTCCAGTCCAGGCCTGGCTGATGAAAACCTTTTGTTTCTCTTCTAATGAAAACAATGACTTCACTTAGGGAGCCAAGTTAGCGTTCTGACGTGCAGATGGAAGGGAGGCTCAGACTGCTCAGAGAGACTGCCGTTTTACAGGGTATGGGTTCCCTCTGCAGGGACTGTACAGGGGGGGGGGACCTCCACTCTACTGTGGGACTGGAAGAGGAGAGGTCAACCCCCACCAGGTCCTCTATGAGCAGGCATCTCTCTGGTCAGCCTGCCTGCCTGTCCTGGGGAGTGGAAGACCCAAGGCCTCTGGAGTGGAGTATGGCCGTCTGTCTGGAAGTCCCTCCATAGTACCACTCATATCAGGACCCACCACAGTCAACAGTTCCACCACAGGCTGCATGCTGCATACTCTCTCTCCCGGTCCTCTGGAAACTCCATCTGCCACATCAATGAGGTTATGGGCCAAGGCATTAACTGGGACTGTCTCGGGTAACCAACGTGTCCTGCGCCACATCTGTGAAACTCACACAGCGGACGGTGTATACACAAGCTGCCTGGACCGGACGGTGTCATTTAACACAGCGTGGTGATTAGGACCATGCTGGCTTTGGTGTGGGAGAGAAGGCATCTACATCCCAAATGGCATCCTATTCCCTACATCGTGCACTACTACTGACCAGAGCCCATAGACCCAAATTACAACCTATTCTCTATATAGTGAGCTACTTTTGACCAGAGGCCAGAAGTAGTGCACTATATAAGGAATAGGGTGCCATTTGGGATACAGATAAGGAGACTTGAGAAGGCAATGACAGGTAGAGAATAATAGGATCTGCACTAGCTGGGAAACGTCAGGGAACAGCTCCTATGTCAACTCCCTGAAGTGTCCTCACTGAGCTGAGATAGGACAGCTAATATGATAATGGTGAAAACAAACAGGTGTTTAAAGTATGGCCAGACTACAGTAACGCACATTGGAAAACTGAAATTGAAAACTAGCATCTGTTCTTTCAATTGTGTAAAATAAAAAAATTAAAAGGACATGCTTTGAATTGCTAAAAGCATTTCATAGCTTGACCAAAAAGCGCTGGCTGCAGCAATTCTACTGTCCAGGCAAGTCTGCTAATTTGGTCTTTTTG